ATTTATACATTTAATGACTTTAACGCCTTAAATAACCCGAATAAATATCATTTCACAGACGTCGGAAGGGTGAGACTAATTATCAAAAACGTAAACAGGAAAAAGTCAAGTGGGACTGACGGGATTTCGAATTTTGTAATGAAAACAATCCCGAATGCAACTATAGCATTCGTCACCTCAGTATTCATTACAATTGCATTGACAATGTATACTTCCCATACATCTGGAAACCTGCTAAGATTATTCAAATTAGAAAGAAACCAAACAGCATCACCTCAGTAGAATTCTTATTGTCTTATTGTCAAACATTGGGAAAGTGTTCGAGCATTGCTTGAAAGGAAAACTCGAGGACGAGTTCATAATTGATCCCATATCTTCATTCCAAATCGGATTGAATTGCTGTTTTATAAACCGGCAGACACGCCAATAAGATGACAACTCAAAATCTTTGTTTGTCCAACGACAGTCGTAGCATCTCGATATTACACTGGCGCCCCAGTCGCATAAGCAACAAATAAGCCACTGTATAAAATCCGAGTGGCACGCTTTGTTAGACCCTACTCATACCTTAGGGCACGACTAACCTATCCTACGCCTTTCTTTTTTTTACTTTTCATTTTTTCGAAATGACGGGTAAACTTGCCTCTGTCATTCATGCTGTTTCCTAAGAACTCAACCGCAGCCTGGTACCTGTTTCTAGCCTCACTCTCTCTAATCACCGGACGATAAGTTACCCTTAAGTAGCATCGTTACAATTTTCTTCGATCATACATTCTCTAATGAAATGTGTCTTTAACTCAGTGGTCGAAACTTAAGCAGCGGCAACAACTGGTAACCTCGTCGAAAGGACGTACTCTGAATAATATCCAGTTAGCGTATATTCTGCCCGAGTTCAAAAGAGTCTTCATAGTCTCCTTGGTTCCCTAAATAACTACGTCTTTATCGGCTCCCATCCACGGTTTAGAGACTAAGTGGACTTTTTTCAAGCCCAGCTTGCCTTGATGAGACATTTTGAGCCCAACTTCCACGAACTTTGTGTTGGCCACGATTTTCTCCCTTTCGGCCACGGACGGTGCGCACTCAACAGCGCTACACGAGCTGATCGGCTTAATGTCGAGGACCTGCATGCCCAACGGCGGACCCACCTGCTCCAACTATCTTCTTTACCTCCTCTCTCGGGGTATCGGTGCTACCATTGCTCCCAAGCACAACAGACCACGTTTCACGAGCAGGCCAAACAATGTGGTTTCATACTTATAACAGTGTGTGTAGTATAGCTATACGAACAGATTTCTCTTAAGATTTAACATGGGTACACTACCATGAACGTTTCACCTACGGTACCCGATGACACACGGATAAATTTTGCGTAACCGGCGCGTTCCAGAGAGTTAGACAATCCCCATAAGCTAGGAGCCTAAAACCTTTAGCCTTACTTTACGCGGCATAGTCACTCTTGCCTTCAGATCAACCATACAATCACGACTAGCCAACACTAGACTACCCTTCATCAACATATATTTGCGTAGGGTACTACACCTGACTTGCTGGGTTCGACTTCTACTGTATCAACGTACGGAATGTAACCAGTTACGACCACGACTGGTTTGTATTTTCTCCTTAGCAATAGTCTATGAAAAAAGAAGTGCTCGTAGCAAGAACGCGTGGCTTCGGTCAGCGATTGTTTATAAGAAATAACGGAAAATAGACTCGATGGCAAATTATAAATAGCATGTTCTACGAAGTCAACAAAGGTGGAACGAAGACCATCAACGGTAATAAAATTATGATCAGGTGTCTTTATTTATTTTTTTCTCTAGATCTTGCCAACATTGTTGTAGCTTGTGAATAAATGCATCAATTTCCGGCCGTTTCAAACCAATGGAAACAGCAGCAGTCAAATATGCGCAATCAAGACTGCTTTCATGAGATCCCCAATCTACAAACAATAGAATATTAAAAGAATATTCATACGCAGACAGATTTCTTATGCTAACTTTACTAACCGGCGAATTCAAACCCATCTATAGTTTTATTGCAACCTTTTATTATTACTCGGGTTCCGGAAACACCGCGTGTGAAAAGCATAGAGCCCAATTTTGTAGCCACATCAGTAGATAGTGTCTTTAATTCTAAAGCCAACGAGATTGGGTTAGCTTTGGCTCTTATTACGCGGCAATGATGTTTCTCTGCAAATTCTTCTAATTGCTTTTGCAAATATACGAAATTTAATTTACGCTGACTAACTAGATCTTGATAGCCAATTTTACCCAAGCATAATAGTGTTATAAGGACGTCCAGTGATTGAGAAGAAGAAGCTCGACCTACGTTAAAAAAAAAATTGTATTAATGTAATTTCAACCCATGACTATTTAATACCTGCATAGGCTTTTGCTACAGTGTGGACTGACGACTCTTCAAATCCCGCAACAATTGCTCCTCCTACAGGTACCATAAAATTTTTATCTGTACTTTGCACAAAAAGATCCACCCGTCCCGCGCTATTTGCCTGTTTAAGCTGATGGGTCAAGTAGGTGCTCTGAAGACCATAAGCGTTATTCACTACATGCGGTACGTCAAATTTGGCAGCTAAACCGGCTAAGCTAATGATACCATCACAGTTACGAGGGCCGAAGCAACTTGTTGTTGACATTATACATAATATTTCTTCACGATCTATGCATGAGAGATTCTCTTCAAATTTTCCAAGATCAGTGAATAAACCATCTTGTTCTTCTCTTTTAACCGTGTCTATTATAATAGGTGTTAAACCGGCAGTGGTAATGCTTTTAAAGCATGATTTTTGATCAATCCTGGACCATAGGACGTACTTAGCCGGGGGCCTACGCTTTTTTAAGCTTAATAAACATAACGTTAAAGTCATACCGGTAGCCATTGGTGCTATAAAATACGATTTAACTGACTTAATACCTTGCAGGCGAATTACATCTAGTACGAGAGCGTTGCTTAATTGTGCCACGATAGTTGAACCTACTGCTTTCGGTTGAGCGTCTAATAAGTCACCTGAACGCCCAATGCCGTGTCCAAAGCCATAATTTCTGTTAATTACTAATTCTTCAAAGATAATAATCAATTTTTTTCAAATTGTAACCACATGACTGAAATTTTCTTACTGCTTGCCATGCGAGCCTCCCTTTCACCCAAACCAATTTTATGCTCAAAATTATTGTTATCGAGCGCAGCCAATTGCTGAATAACATATTCTATTAGTTCCTCCGTCCAGCCCACATCAGGCAATTTACGCTAAACCTCAACAAAGGAAAATTTATAAGATAATTTACAATCTTTCACAAAACATTTAAAATTACCTTTTCCAGCAGCTCTTTTATTTGTATTTCTTTACATCTTTGAGCCTCTAAGGCTAATTTTAAATAATTATCCGGCACCAATTTGTGATGCAATTTTAAATTATTTAAATTCATGTTTATTTTGATAGCAATAAATTAGTAAAAATATACACTTCTTTTAATATTTTTTTTAACAACTACAAAGTTTCTAAGGGAGGAAACAGTTAGAATTGGAACATTCTCATTTTTCATTTTATAAAAGCTGCCAAGTTCCAAATGCAAACATAATCAATTTAATGAGACTAACTAATTGCATTAATTCATTTTTATATATTAGATAATGTTTAAAAAAAGAAGCTCAGTAGGAGAAATGTAAAAAATTGCATATAATTCTTTACAAAAATATTATCCCTATTAACATTGTAAAACAAAAGAATTAAATATAAAAAAGTGATGTATAAAAGTAAATGTACTTTTTTCATACATTTTTTGTAGCATGATACAAACTCTCATTGAAATCATAAATAATATTATCCGCTAGGTGTATTTGCTTAAAAAGGAATACAGGAATTAACAGTTACGTTAAACGTTTTCTTAAGGTTTACTTTAACGATTTATTAAATTACTAAATTTTATGCCTATTTTACATAATTATTGCATGGTTTAAGAGTAAGAACTGTGAACAATGATTTTTTTTTACCTTGTTTTACCTTGTTTATAATTCTTCCTTTCTCTTTTTGTTTCGTGTTTTTTTCTTTATTTTTATTTTATATTATATATTTTAAGTAAATTTATCAAATTATACCTATTGCACTAACGCTGTTTTAAAAACTCATCGCTTTATAACACTTGCACCAGCATAATAATAGTAACAATAATGATCCTATTTTAATATCGTTGCATTTCATACGCAAATGCATTTATGTGCATTTGATCTTTTTCCAATATCAATTAACATCAGCGCTTCAGCTTAGAAACATATATTTCCTTTCCTAGAAAATACTAGTTAGAATTTGTTGATTATAAGAAAAAAATTTTTTTTAAAAAGTAGAATTTTCTTCCGAGGATAATTTTAGTCATCTAATTTTTAATATATATCTTTTCTTTTTTTGTTATTACTATTATGGCTTATGGGTAAGTAAAAATACTTTGAAAACGAAAATATTCTTACTAATTTTTTTTTTTTTGTTAATAATATGATTTTTGGAATGTTCTGGACTTTGAGGTTTCTGGGGTGAGTTTTCGTGGTTTATTTGTTTTTTGATAAGAAAATTTATTTTGTATTTGTATGGATATACTTTTGTTTTAGATATTGTGCGCACAAAATTTTGGCGGCAAATAAAAATTGTTGTTTTTGTAGAGAAAAGAATAAACTAGAACAAAATGCACTCACACATGTACAATTTCGTTAAAGCGGAGTGTGTGTGAAAATAAGTGAAAAATAAAAAGTGTTAGGCGGCGAACAAAAAGAAATTCGAAAAAAGATTTTATCTTATAAAACTTATTAGCCAGGAATTAAAACGGAAATAATAATTCCATCCGATTACGGTAAGGAATTTATTCAGGTTAAGTAAACTACGAAAACGGGAAATCAAAGTGTTTTATTACTGTTAAATGTTAAAAAGATTTGCAAAAAAAAGTTAATAAAAGATCCATAAAATATATATATTTATGCATATATATAAAATAGTGAAATAAATATAAAAAGAATCAATTTTATTCGTTTTAATGAAGAAAGCCATCTTCTTGAGCAATGTGTATATCCTGTTAAAAATATAATTTTTAAGGATGAAAAAAATAACTGAATTAATCACAAACACAATGGTTGCGTTATGACTCAGTTGAATACATTGCTTACGTCCTTTGCTGATGGAGAATCATATTGTTAACGTTTGAAGTGAGAAATTAAGAAAGCGGATGACTTTGAAAAATGACTTTTGTGAAGCAAAACACTATTAGTAAGACAAAAGAAAAAACTTTTTTCTCATATAGGAGCAAATAGCAATATACTTTTGCTTAATTATATATTTTTTTAATAAAAATGTAACGACCATTTTAAAATCATATTATGTTTGAAATGTGACACATATCATTATGTTTTGCTTTCACGAAAATAATATTTTGTTTGTCAAAATCCATTTGCCAAAATTTTGCGTTGGTGCACAAGGCAACGCATGTTATATGTTCATCCAGCGTCCGTACGCACAAAGAATAACGCAGTTATTATGTTTGTTTCTAACGGTAGTCACATTTCACACTCGTTTCTCTACATGTGTAAATAAATAAAGAAAATTATGAAAATAAGTTTTGTTTTTGGACATATAAGCCACAAATCTATTGGCTTAAATAAGAAATCGTTGTTAAATTTTAATGATCAACTATTAGGTGTTTGCAAAAATACTGATCACTTTTTCACTTGAAAAAGCCGTTTATTGTGGAGAATTGATATAATGCGTATTAATCAAAATAGTTTTCATTATTTTCTACATTTTACAATATTTTTGGTAACATGGCGATATCATGCCGAAAGAAGTTACATTGGTTTGGCAGCGATTCACCCACCGACCCTTTTTCGTCCTTCTTCAACTTTGCCTACCCGCGTGCTAACAAAGCCCTGCTGCACCGATCTGAACAAGTGCTAATCAGACATCGCTATGTCTGGTGAGAACGCTGCTTGCTGCACAACTTCCGATTCCAACTGCAATAGTTTATCTTGGACAACTTTTGCAACAAGTGGTCAAAAAATTGCATTTTCAGTCAATTGGTGCCTCTACTTTTAAACCTTTGAACCCAAAACCGACAATCAGGATATGATGAAGCAGCATCACCGTAAGCCTATGAACGCGTTTGCTGGGCTTCGGCAGCAGGTTTTTTCAAAAAGCAACAAAAGTGATGAATTTGGAAGTAAAATACTTTTAAGCGCTTCATGATTAGCGCCAGCCTACGCTGAATAAATCAATAATATTAAATGGAAAATTGTTATTTTATGTAGAGGAAGGTCGAAACCATCGAATTCAACCGTTATGCACACTAGTGTTTCCCTTTTCTTTACCACTTTTTTACGCGTAGAAGTCGCTGAACTTTTGCAAACACTTAATGTTTGAAGCCCTCATTAGGAAACTAAAGTTGCTTTACAATTTTCAGAAATAGTTTGTCTATAGTAAGAACGCTATTGTCTCAGGCGATAGTTTGAAATTGTTTGTCGTTTAAAAATCAGAGTTGCTTTTCGTTACCTATAGTAATTGTGAATGGAATTTTTATTTAGGTTTGCTTAGCTGTCAGTTTTCTCATTAACTGAGAGATTAAAATGTAAATAATTTATAGTTAGTCCTTACAACTTTTATTACTTTACTCATGATTTTAATTGCAAAGATATGATTCGACTTTGGAACTTTCCAATTTAGTCCAAGTGAGGTTTCAGAACGTTACCCCCATTGTCATGGACGTGTATTGAACGTTTTAAAAGGTATCAGCTGTCATTTCAACATTAGAGAAGATATCTTTAATACTTTTAACACATCTAAATGTTTGTCCGCACTCTGGAAACGTAGAGCTCGATGAAGAATTTAGTTTTGTACTTGTATATATAAAATTAATAATCATTTTTTAAATAAATTGATAAACGAATTTTTAGTCTTAGCATTGTTTCTGATATACGTGACGGACATGAGAAAACTTTGTAGAGAAAAGAAGCTTGTTTGTGCGAACAGTACTCGTGTGCATTTATTTGTGCATTTTCATATATCTATGTGGAACAAGTTGCTTGGATATATGAACACTTTATCAAATAAAGCCTTTCATCATCTTTCAAAGTATGGCACCCGAATACAATTAGGTTTTAAAATATGATTCTTTGTCTTACAAAGAAGACGAAAAATACAAAAAGAATGTGAATTTTTTATTGAGAACTTTACAATTTCGCGAAATGTAAAACATATATGCAACTCTGGTTGCTCCAAGTTGTGCTCCTTTTGAGTGGAGATATGTTAGACTTGTCTTTTTGCTTTGCAAAAAAAGAGCTGGAGGTTTGTGCATATATGCTTTGCATACATGGCTACGAATGAAATTTGAAAATGGACATGATTCGTCCGTACTACCATCAACAATAGTTACATCTTTCAGTCCGTAGTAGTTGTTGATTTTGTATTTATTCCAAATCGTCTGCTCTGAATATACAGCACAAAAACGATCTCGACCATCCGTATGCCATATTCACACAAACATCTTTTTCGTAGAACCAGCTCGAAGTTTTGATTCGACGAATCTCGTTGGTGTCTTCTAATAGCACAAATTCTTGTTCTGAAAGCATAAACCAACTATTTATTATTTGTTTCTGTATTATTGGTTGACGAGGTTGAGTTCACTTCTATCTGTTGTATGGAAAGTTATACAGTAAAGTGCCCTTTTCTAAGCAGTATGTGTGTTAGTGAAGTGTGTTGTTTTCTTTTATAATCGTTGACGGGTCAAAAAAGCAGAATATAGCCTTCTATCGCAAGTATGAAGCACTTCAAGACATAATGGGTCATATTTTCAATTAACAAAAATCCATTATATTTCTAAATTACTTTACGTTACCATTCTGTTTGTCGGCTTTGGATATTGTAAAGGGTGGTCAATTACGCTGCCAAAAATACCTTGGCATCCTGTAGCCGCCAGTGGTAACACATTGGTGTTCTTTGATATTGGCTATCGTTGATGGCGAGCGTAATGGCGAAGCCAATGAATTAGTGCCGTATGATGATGACAGTTTTGCTCTTTCTGCTCAATCAGTATATAATTTGTCCGAATATGTAAACGCCAATGATTTCTATTTGTTTACCTGTAATGATATATGCAAAGTGATTATTGATAACGCGAACAGTACTTAGAACGATAGTGCCAAGTAAATTAATCTTACAGGAAATGAAGTTTCCAATGTCCGCGATTATAATTTTGAATTTCAACATGTGGAAACATTGCGATTTTGGTGGAAAGAAATTGTAGTTATGATCTTTACTTCAGCTGTGTCATTAAATTTCCTGGTAGGGTAGCTTAGTCGAGGTGAACGAGCAATTGTAGTAATTGAACGTCATGTACCCACACCAAGAGCCATATAGGTAATAGTACCAAGTACGAAAAGTAACAGTGACAATAAATACAGTGATTCCGAATCCACTTCAAATTCCAGACAAAATTTCTCTTCGAGTTTTCAAAGGGATTTTGACATGGTGAGACTTTTGGGTCGCGGAAGTTTTGGAGTAATATTTGAAGTCAAAAGCAAAGAGGATGGTTATCGATATGCTATTAAACGTATCACTTTACCAAATGAAGAAGAGTCGCGAGTCCGTGTTATGCGTGAAGTAATAACTTTAGCCAATTGCAAGCATCCAAACATTGTACGATATATTCAGGTAAGTTAAGAAAATAACTTTGTCAAAAAAATGAGTCTTTTATATATTATTTTAACAGTCATGGACTGAGACGCCACCGCCCGGTTGGCAGGAAGAGCAGGATAGGCAGCAAAATGAGCGTTGGAAGGAAGAGAAGCGTAAGCAGAAAGAGGAGCGTGGGCAGGAAGAGGAGCGTGGGCAGGAAGAGGAGTATACGTATTCTACGGGTACGAATGAAATACCCACCAGTTCTGACTGTGAAGAATCTGTCAGTGCCGATTCGCAAAGCAATCACGGCAATAACGATGAGCCTAAGGACGGCAAGAATAATTGCAAAGAGCTAATGCCAATGGCTTCCAAGCCATTGCAAAACAAAGTTTATGTGTATATACAGATGGAAGTGTGCTTCAAGTTCAACTTGCGCACATTGCTAAAACCTGGCAAATTGAAATTTCGTGATTACGATATACCCAGTTTTTTCCATCAGATAGTAGATGCGGTAGATTATATTCATTCGAAAAGTCTAATCCATCGTGATCTCAAGCCCATGAATATTTTTATATCCAAGTGCGGTCTAATAAAAGTTGGCGATTTCGGCTTAGTTACTGGTATGGCTGATAAACCGAATATGATAACAAACGATGAAACGTGCTCATCATCATCACGTTCTCATCATACCCAAGGTGTGGGTACAACTCCATATATGTCGCCCGAGCAATTACGTGGTTTACCTTACAACCACAAAGTCGATATTTATTCATTGGGTTTAATATTCTTTGAATTATTGGTATACTTCGGTACTGATATGGAACGGAGCAAAACTTTAAGATCATTACGTGATGGTGTTTATCCTGATAAGTTTGCCGAAGAACATCCTCAAGAATATTCATTGTTACGGGGGATGTTATCAGCCACACCAGGAGAACGTCCTGCTATTGAAGATGTGAAAGAACAAATAAACGAAATTTTAAAAATACCTAGCGATGTGGAGATGATGCTTAGATGGGGGATGGCCTTTGACCGTCTTAGAGCTGGGAAGTACTGGTAATTAGATCTAAGAAAAGTTTGTACATTCACTACATGTGCAATTATTACATTAATAATCAAGTCATTCCAAAACGGAGTATTTTTGTTTGTTGCACAAGTTTGCTTTTAATTCAGATGAATAAAGTCCAAAAAAATTCTAATTCTTTTTCTGTTATTCAGTCAATTACCAACCAAGAATTCGCTGGAATTCGTAAAAAAGGCTCAATGTGAATACAGAGTTATTTATTTCGGCCTTAATAAACTTGGGGATTAGATTTGGTATATGAAGTTACTATTTACTTATTTTAATCATTATTTTATTAAAGACTTTTTTCAATTTTGCATGTTACACGTCTGCCACGTTAGTTTTATCTTCTTATAGTTTTTATTAAAATACGCATATTACTCGCCCGTCCCGTAGGACAGAACTAAAGAGCGAAAAGTAAATTCCGATATGTATGATGTAATCGGGTATACCAGTAAAAAAGTTACATGAAGGAATTGCGGGGTGCGAGAGCAAAAAAGCGTAAAAGACAGCAGGTTCGTAAATTGACTGTAAGCGCCTATATGTCTGGATAGCATAATTTAAAGAAAAAAAAGATTGTGACGTAAGTTGTTAAATTGCTAGTACGCAAAATGTCAAGAGTGCTTTGGTCACGGAAACCATGTGTACTCAATTTGCGAAGTGTGGAATGGCGAATAATAGTGGTATCATTCGGACAGGCAAACAGGACGTGATCAGCAGATTGTACGACTCCATAGGTGCATGAAGGGTTGTTTGCTATGATAATTTTGAATAGATGATCATTACATCTGGTACGGTTGAACATCAGCCTATTGATAAGACATATAGTGTCACGTCTGAGTCCGAAATTGATAAACCAAGGGGCTTGCTAAGAAAGAATTGAAAACTTTTTGTCAATTGTCCTCAGATCTGTAGCAATCACATATATGTGTGGATGAGTTTTACCTGAGGGAAGTAATTGTAAAGCGGATACGACGTACTTACAGTCTGATGGTGCGAGGAATTTCTTTTGCGGTTGAGTTGGCTTCTAGGATCGCAAAACATTTCGCAGAAACTGTAGTGCTACATGGGTGATTTGAGAAGTAGGCTTCTGTATTAATATCTGGACACCAAAAGCCGCTGCCTACAACATCGGTCGTAGATCTATCAGTAAAGATGAGTGAAAAATTCCATTTGGTATTGACCAAGTTCAAGTAACCCCTGCCGGAGTGACTGCGGATTTTCTCACTGGTAGGAGCTTTATTACTGTGGTCCTAGTACGTCAGTTCTTAGAATGTTAAAATTATTAATTTTGTCAGCAGAAATTTTAAAGAAGGAAGGAGAGGAATTGAGTGACATAGAGTTATGAATGAAAGGTAACGCCGGATGATACTCTGAAAATAAGAAGTAAATGAACTCAGGCAGAAGATATTTCCATTGGATTTTGCAAAATTTCAGAAGGTCCTTCTTTTGGATGCCCAAAAAGAGTGAACAGGCGTATTCTAATTTTGGTCTGATTAGGCCAAGATATAGTCTAATCATGCAAGAATGATCAAAGCCCCAAGAAATACCGCAATTGGATTTCAATACATTAATGTGTTGAAAACATTGTTTGGTGGTTTTGTCAATGTCAGCTGCTGGAGAAGGTTTCCAGTGCAGAACAAACCGTAAAAAGTCGAAAGTGTTAACAAACGGAATAGAAGAGCCATAGATGAGCGGAGGAGTAACCGTGGGGTCTCTTTATTTTTTTGAAAAAACTAAGCATAAGTTTTTGCAATCTGAGAGTATAAGTACATTTCTTTCTAATTTCGGACAAAAATTTGAAATTTATTGTAGAAGGAGATCTTTTGCATTTATTTACAGCGAGTACAAGTTTGGCGGCGACTTAATTGCATTCGTTTATCCACCAAAGATTTTAGAAGACCTTCGGTTCAGAGCGTCAGTGAAAGACTTTGCGATTCTTTCAAAGAAACAACCCGAAGAATCATTGGCTTGGATGGTATTTGAAATGTTACGTATCGTTAAGTAAAGAAGGTTTAATATGCTTTGGAACATGGGTATGTAAGTGGCAGTGGGTAATCGGATGCAAATGCAAATCAATTTCGACTAGACAGTGAGAATTACCTAAGGGTTCTCTAGGCACTTAGAGAACTTAGATTAGGTGTACAGATCGAAAGATCTATGCAAAAAGAGACGGAACCAAATTGAGTAGGGTCACAACTATTTAGTAAAACTAAATTGCTGCTTTCAAAAAACTCTTGAATTTGTCTGCCTATTGAATGCGAGAAGCGACTCTCCCAACAAACATTCTGAGCATTAAAGTCACCATATATTAATGCAGATTTGTGGGATCTGAAAGAAAATAAGCTGTTAATTGCAGACTCAGAAAAATTACTATTAGGTGGAATATAACAATTAATGATCAAGAGCTCGCCAAAGGAAAAGTGAAAGGTGCAGCTGCAAGCTTCAATCGAAGTGTAAAAGGATGAAAGCTTGTTAGATATAAAGATCTGGCGTTGGGGATTTTAATGTCCCCACTTTCGAGTGCGATGGTGCGGTCTTGCGGCTAAACCATATTTCGCAGATTGATTTCTGTAAATTTAAAGACGATAAACAGTCAAATTGTGAAATGAAATAGAGTCGGAGTGTGTAGTGATGTTCTTTGAATGAGATGAGTTCTGCCGTGGGATGTAACGTTGTTCCTTTTCTCAATGCGATGTTCCACTTTCTCAGATATTTTGGTTTTTCATGTCATCTACGTTGTACAAACAGTTACATGTTTTGTTTTTGTTTTCCCTTTTTAAATGATTTCGTATTCAATTTCACATTCGTGTTACTAAGCTGTCATTTTTGCACACTTCCACAGGGTTTCTTATTACAGTTCAGCGTACTTTTTAAAATAATCCCCAATCAGCAAATAAAGATATTTTGTCAATTCTTCTTGTTTTCTTCCAAATATTTTTTTGTTTTTTTCACTGAGGTCAAAAGAGTTTAAAAAAAAACTTGAATTGATTATTTCATAACGCTTTATAACAAAATTGGCTTTTGTTTCTCAATTGGTTGTTATTATACCCAGCACTGAAAGGTGAGACTATACTCATTTTATTTTTCATAATGTCGTTGAATTCTTTTATATATTTTGGGGAAAAATTGAATAGCACTGCGTGATTATTGCTTAATCTAATATTATTTCCCATTTAACTTTGAAGAGAAACAAAACATTGCCTTCCAACAAATGTAAACAAAAGCAAACATTTGTCTTGCTACGTAATCTCTTTCAAACCATGGGCAAAAGATACTCTTTTAAGGATATAAAAAAAGCAGCTTTATCTGTTTTGAAAAGTTGAGTTCCCACCCCAGAGATAATGGGTTCATTAAAGACATACCAAGGCATATGTAAGAAATTCCGTGCTTTAAAGTTTGTTTACAAAAAGTCTATTGTATTTTGCAGTATAGAGTTAATAGATCTCTGAGAATATTATTTAGCAATTATTTGTAGCATATCATCATATCCTCGTAATGATTGTGTCAAACAATAATAGGTAAGATATTTTCTATATTTTATTTGAAGTTATATACGAAATTAACGTTTATCTTAAATCATTCGTTTTAATTCTTTAAAGCCTCTTTCGCCTTTTTCGCCATTCTCCAAATCCAGCACATTCTAGAACGTTCGGGAATCCTTCTCCTTCAAAACTTTACTATTATATCATAGTATTGATTTTCGTGGTCTACGAGCAATTCTGAGTTGCTACCCTCAGACTAAGACGTCAAAAAAGCAGGTTTCCTCCCATTTTTCCAAAAAGGAAGTTCCAGAAACGCTCTTGACCAGCGTGAAATTCCGCAATGATTAAGCCATGTCTGTCCGCCTAAATGTCTGTGTGGTGTTCATTATTGGCACTCTCCTGGTCGCAAAAATATCGATTTCAAATTTGATAGAAACATTGGAAGTTTTTGTCCGCAGGTTAAAATTGAAAATGGCAAAATTGGTCGGAACAGAAGCCCGCAGCGCTAAACTGAATACAATTCCGTTTTTCATATACAAGTTTCATATTACAAGTTCAAATTTATTTTACGATAACTTCTATTATTTATGTGACAAAATGGCAAAAATCGGCCATATCCAGACAAAGTTGCAAGTGATTAAATAATCTTTTTTCACTTTTTTGTAGCTTTATGCTTATTAATCTTAAGAAAAACTCCAAATAATGCTCAAAACTATATTGTTGTTGTTGTATCATTCCTTATCTGCCTAAAAATGCGTTAATTGTGAAGTAAATAAGGTTGGACATCATGACCTGGTGGATTAATGTTTTCTTAATAATGCCCTTGATATGCGCATCATATAAAAGGGCTTGGAGAGTTAAAATCCGAAAAGCTAACTGCAATAATTGTAAATTAATTATGGCGGACGTCATGATAGTTGTTGATTAACATTTCTTACGAATACCTTTTACGGCAGTAAAAGTTGACATATAAATATTTCATTTCGTTTTCTTTTTTGTGACAATCAAAAAGGAGGGGCGCTAAAAATTTTGATTTTGATGGATATGCGAGATTCCGCCCAAGGCGAATATAACTGTCTTGCTTATTGTCATGTATATATATGTCGTGCGTATATTCTGAATCAAAATTCATTTAAAATCAATTCTTTTTTCTTCAGCAGAATGTTATCTGCATGTGCTAGTTATTTTTATTCAAAACTCAATAGAACTGATCACTAAACTCTTGTTTATATATCTTAAGTTGTAATTCTTCGTTAAGCATATGAATAAGAATTTGGTCGGTGTTTGCACGTTGCTTTTGTAGCTGCTGGCTGCTCCATCATTTCTTCATTATCGCTTTTGGTTTCAACGGTTTAAGAGTGTTGACTTCGCTGTCAATGGCAAAGGACGGCCTGGAGGACCAAAGACGTTCAAAAACAACGAATTGCAAGACTTATTGGACGAAAGTCCACTTTAAACTCTCAAACAACTTTCGAACAGCTTAGCTGTTGAAGAATCAACAATTTCTGAATGTTTACATGCTAGGGGAATGATTCAAAAG